GTGTGTGTGTGTGTGTGTGTGTGTGTGTGTGTGTGTGTGTGTGTGTGTATTTCTGTAAATACTTGTGTAATTTAAAACAGGAAAATTGGACATGGCTAAAATAATGTTTTCCTCCAAGCTGAAAGTGTACCTATGTTCCCCGATGTCTATGTACATTAATGCATTCGTAAGTTCCCCAGTACCCATCTTCCATTGGTCAGCCAATGCTGCCTTCGCTAATTGGTTGTAGCGCCATGTAACAACCATAAAATTTCAACTTTTTTGAACTTTTGTGTTGAGCAAGCTCGCATGTGCATGTCTATGAATTTGAAATTTCACGATGTAATTTTGCCGGTCGTTTTGGCCAGATGAGGGTAAGTGATTGCCGTCTCTTTGCACGAGTTCCATTGAAATGAATAGAGAGGGAGCGACATCACCTCACGTGTCGAGCCCAAGCTTGTAGGATGTGTTCGTTTGTGAGCTGGGTCACCCAGATAAGTGAGGTCAGGTCCCTGTCTTCGATGATGTCATTTCCAGGAGGCATGACTCAGTTCTGAAGAATACTGTTAAAAGCTAAGGTGCCAGTAATCTGAAGTCTTGAGTATCTTGGCCCAGACTTGAGATTGTGGTGATACTTTCATGTGCAATTAAATATTCAAGTCTAACTATGAATCAGTTTACTGTGCATGGGCTTGTACTTTGAACACATCCATTTCTGTCACAAATTTTAGTGTGACATCTGTTAAATTTACCGAAATATAGCCATTTTTTGTTTTGGCTAAGGTCAATTAGCAGTGGTAGCCATATTTAATTGGATGACCTCCAATAAAGTTAATGAGTTGTAAGTTCATCTATTGATTACTTTCAGAAACTTTCATTAAAATCTATCTAGTAGTTGATATAATATTTTGCTAACAGATGACTCTTAATAGCAAAGCTTTACAAACAGATATCGTGAGATGTGTTGTCAATAAGTTTCAGTCGTTAAACCAAATTTTAGCACATCTGTAAATTTGACTGCATTAAAATCATGCTGCGGCAGCCATCTTAAATGGGGTCGACTCTGAAGGTCCTTTGAGCAGATGTCCAGATTGCCGTCAAGCATTTTTTTAAATTTTAATCACCTCTTCTTAAGAACTATGAATTTACTTGGGCAAGTCAACTTTTCTGCCATAACAGTAAATTCAGTCCTAAAAACAAAATAAAAATGCTATTTCATTTTATTTTTATATATTGTCTCAAAATCCCAAAAGTCTCCACAGTCCTCAGGGGCCCTCATCTTCATGTGTTTGGGGAAGTGATTTCTGTAGCTGCTTTGGCGCCCTCTACAGGATGTACATAATCAAATCAATAACCAGTTCATAGAGGTGTGTGGTTCAACTAAAATGTTTTATAGATATAATTAAAATTTAGGTAGTAATGTGGTTATTTTATTGCACTATGGTATTTCCATTTTGTATAATCAGCTGATCTGTTGACCTCATTATAGCAGAGAAGAGTATAAATACATTATTAAAGCAGTTCATGCAAATTCAATCCAAATGACCAAACGCCTCTTTTTCATACAGTCATACCAAACTTACCTGTTTCTCCTTCGCTGTTTTTTTCTGTTAAAGTTTGTACATCTGCTTCTCTTATGATAAAAAAGCAGTTTTTTTCCTTGCCAGATACGTAAATTAGTCTCTGAAAAATCGTTTGAAACAACTTCTAAATGTCACTTTTAAAAGAAATCAAGGTGAAGATAAGTAAATTTTAAAAAATCCCTTTTTTTCAGATAGGAAAAATAAAATAACATCTTAGAAAACATCCTGGTTTTCATGAAGAGTTAGCCAGTAGGAGAAGTGATTTTTTTTCTCTTATAGTGTGTGTGTGTCGCTTATCCTCTGCTTATTGCTAATCACCCGGTGTATTGCTGCACTTTTGCATCATACTTTATGGACTAAAGTGAGAGGACCGTCAAGACAACTTGGATTCTAACTCCCCATCTGTTTATTATGTCTGCTATCATCTCCTCTTTGTGATGTTCAGTGCTGCCATGGTGCATTGAAATTGAACAGAATGCAATTATCAGGCCCATTTGGTGCAAAAAATTCTCCATACAGCATCATAAGAGTCTCATAAATATCGCTTGCATTTGCTGGAGGTTGCAGTGACATTTAGCCTAGTTTAGTCAGGCACGCGACGCCCGATGAAGGTGCTGGATACAGTATAAAATGAGAGAATGTGACATTTTGGGAAAGCATCTTCAAGCTTTGTGTTCATCTTCA